CACTGAAAGTTTTTAAGGAGAAGAAGACCATACTTGGTTTTTTTTTTTAGAAAGACCTCTGGGGCAGCTGTGAGGAGAATGGATTGGAAAGGCTAACTCACAGACAGGGAAAACTATGAGGAAGCTCTGGTTGAGCATCTTTTTTTTTTAGGACGGATGAGGCCATAATTTAAGAAACAATTGGGAGAGTTTTTTTTTTTAGAACATGGAGGAGACAAAAGTCAGAAATGGTGAAGACTGATTTTTTTTTTCAAAGTTTTGAGCTTGAGTAATTGGGTCAATATGATGCTGGTTTTTTTTTTAGGTACAGAGGAGATTTGTCCCGGGAGAAAACAGTTCAGTTTTTTTTTTTTTTTGAGATACCCATTGGGAAAATTTCAGTGGGAAACATAACTTTTTTTTTTTCATTCATTCAATAAACATTTATGAGACTGACATAGATAAATTTTTTTTTTGTTTTGCCAAAGTAGAAACATTAAAGAAATAAAGTAACTTCTTTTTTTTTTATCATTTCAAAGAACATTTTACTACCAAAAACTAGGAAGAGTTTTTTTTTTGAACGAAGGAGAGTCCTTTATAAATTTTTTTTTTTTTTTTTTTTTTTTTTTTTTTTTGAGAGGGAGTCTCGCTTTGTTGACCAGGCTGGAGTTTTTTTTTTTAATCTCGGCTCACTGCAACCTCCACCTCCTGGGTTCAAACATTTTTTTTTTCTCAGCCTCCTGAGTAGCTGGGATTACAGATGTGTGCCACCTTTTTTTTTTAACGTTTGTACTTTTAGTAGAGACGGTGTTTTGCCATGTTGGCCAGGCTGATCTTGAACTCCTGACCTCAAGAGATCTGACCGCCTCAGCCTCCCAAAGTGCTGGGATTACAGGCGTGAGTCACAGCGCCCGGCCTAATCCTTTTTTTTTTTTAAGATTTATTTATTGAAAAACTTTCCTAGTAAAGTTTTTTTTTTTTTTTTTTGAAAACATCGCTGTATAATATCAGCCTGTTTTGTGGACTGTAATTGGAGAACCACTGATTCGAGGAATGGGCAAAGGAAGAGAGGCCAGCCTTTTTTTTTTTGAGGAATGGTTCCAGAGGCAGGAGGAAAACCAAGAAAGCGTGATCATGCAGGCCAAAAGAGGGGACAGTTTCAGAAATGAGGACTTGGCCAACAGTGTCTTTTGCCACCCAGAGTTCAAAGAAGTAATCAAATTTGGCAATTTTTTTTTTTTTGGTGACAGAGCCCTTTCACTGAGATAATGTGGCTGGAGCCTTTTTTTTTTTGGTTGAGGTGTGAGTGGGAAGCCAGGAAAAGCGGAAGTCTAGCATGTAGAGTACTTTCAATAAATTTGAGACTGAGGGAAAGAAAATAGAGTTTTTTTTTTAGGGAGGGAGGGAGAGAAAGAGATCAAGAGAGAAAGAGCAATTTTTTTTTTCAAGAGAACACACAGTGGAGAGGGAGTTCTTGTTTTTTGGGATAACAGAGACAAGCATTTTATAATTAGGAGAGAAAGAGCTGGTATAGAGATTTTTTTTTTTCCCAAAGACAAGAAGCATAACAAATGGCTGGAGGAAGGGCCCACGAAGGAGGTGGATGAGGCCAAGGCCCAGGCGAAGGGATTAGCCTTTATTTTTTTTTTCACCTTGTCCCCTGAGAAGAGAGGGCTGGAGGGGAAGGAAGTTGGAAAGGCAGGCCAAGTTTGAGGGGGGAGTGGGGCAGGGCACTGAGGTATTTTTTTTTTGAAGGCCTCTGTTTTCTCAGGGAAGTAAAAGGAGAGGTTATTCCACGCAGAGAGGGGAGGGGCAGGAACATGGTAAGGAGGTGAAGGAAGCTTGGAATGTGGCCAAAGCGAAATGTGGAGGCTGGAGCTGGGGCCTTGACAAGTTTTTTTTTTCAAGGATGACTGAGGCGAGCTGAGATTGGTCAAGTCTGTCTTCCCTCTGGTCTTGTCTCCCTCGCTAAGCTTGAGGCAGAGTCCACGGCACTTTTTTTTTTTGTCTGTTCCTTCGTTAGGCAATGCTAACCCCAGTACTCTTATTTTTTTTTTGAAAAGCAATCACTGGCAAAACCCAGAAGCACTATAGGGCTTTTTTTTTTTACAGAGGTAAGATCTTAATTGCTCTGATAGGCAGGTCTCCATCTTGGTTGATCCAGACCTTTTCTGCTGCCTTGCTGACCAGTTTACTCCTGTTTTTTTTTTAGTGAAAAGGAGAACAGCTAAGTTTTACCCAGCAACACTTGTTTTTTTTTTATCTTACAGGCCAGGGAAAAGCCAACAAGAGGAGCCAGCGGCTTCATGTCCCACAAGCTAAATGAGGCTGAGGCAATTCCTAGGAGGTAGCATTTTTTTTTTATTGTGTAGGAAGGACAAAGACCCATGGAAACAGGACTGAATTTTTTTTTTGCTCCAGGAGAGCATGCTGGGAGCTGAGTGTAAGTGGAACCTTTTTTTTTTCTAGTCAGAGGAGTGAAGGGACTGGACAGCTCCTAATGTGAAGGGAGTGACTGAAGGAACACAAGTTGAAGATGGGAGGTGGCATGATGGGTTTTTTTTTTTAGTCTGGTCAGGCATGAGCCCCGAGCTCAGGAGGAATATCTGCCTCTTAGCCCTCTCCCTCCTTCCTTCTGCTGATTCTCGGAGGCCACTTACAAGTGGAAAAGATCCTAGAGTGTGACAACAGGTATTGTGCTTCTTTCTCCTTTGCACGCCATCTCCTTCCAGTCCAGTCTTTTCAGCCTGACTCCTTCTCTTTTTTTTTTTCCTCCTTTCAGCCAATGATGCAGTCAGTAGAAGCAAATGCTTTTTTTTTTTAGGTAAATTTAGCAAGAACTCTCAGAGATTGATAGATGCTCTTTTTTTTTTGCAACCCTCTCTTTCCCCACAAGATTTCCCTCTTCAGGACCTGGGATCTAGCTTGCACTTAGAAAATTCAGGGACAGAGAGCTCTCTCCAGTTTTTTTTTTTACATTCCACTGAACTCATTTCATCTCATATAATAAACCTGTTTTTTTTTTTGGCTGGGACTGTGCCAGGTCCTTGGGTTAGGTGGTGACTGATTTTTTTTTTAGTTTTCCTTTGATTGAGCCAAAATGTGTCTCCCTGTAGCTTCTAGCCATGGGCCTCAGCCCTGCCCTTTGAAGTCACCCAGAACAAGTGTATTTTTTTTTTAGTCTAATCTTCAGATATTTGAAAATATCTGTCATTTCACCTTTTTTTTTTTCCTCCACGGATAAACATTTCTTTCTTGGTTTATGTTTATTTTTTTTTTTTTTCCTTTTCACTACTCAAATAATATCAGTTCATTGTGGAACTTTTTTTTTTATTCCGAAAAACATGAAGTAAAAATCCACCCCACTGTTACTCCCAGAAATGACAACCCTAGCATTCTTTCTTCTCACCAGTCTTATTTTTTCTTTTTTTTTTGTCCATTCTACATCTTTTTTCTTACCAAAATGGGATCATCCTTTTTTTTTTATTTTAGACACTTATTTTGTTTTCACTCTTTCAATATATTATTTTTTTTTTCATTCTTCTACCATGCCAATTTTAATATGAAATTGTGTAACTTTTTTTTTTTTTATCTAACCAGTTTTTAAAAGTGAGACATTTAGGTTGTTTTTTTTTTTTCTTTGCTGAAAAGAACATAGTGAGACTAGAATTGGAAGTGATTTTTTTTTTAGGGGTAGGTGAACAGAGAAATGAGGAGCCCTTAAATTAGTTTTTTTTTTTTACCATCTGATTTTTTTTGCATTGTCTGTGTTGAAAAATTACACTTCCCAGAACATGATCATGAGCACCTGCTTGGTATTCAGTTGCAAGTATTTTTTTTTTTTAATGTAACTGGTTTCCTATTATTGGACATTGAGGTTGTTTTTTTTTTTTGACCATTACAAACTGGACTGTGATGAACACCCAAGAAGCTATTTTTTTTTTGGGGCTAGACACTGAGGTCAGGAGGAATATTTTTGAGACCTTTTTTTTTTTAGGTCCCTGCCAGTAGTTGTAACTAGAAGCTTTCTGGCAAATTTTTTTTTTGCTGGCTAAGGCCGAGGACTGTGCTCAAGCCTCTGGGCTTGTTTTTTTTTTGTACCCATTTATGTAGCCCCCGTCAGAGAGTGTTCAGGCTGTTTTTTTTTTATGGGACCACTGGGTCAGCACCCTCATCTTTCATGTGAGGGTTTTTTTTTTTAGGGCTGGGGCTGGTCCTTCAGCGGCTCTGTAGTCGGGCATTTTTTTTTTTCTCCCCAGCACCCTGGCTCCTGAACTGGAAGCTGAGCTCTGAGGTTTGGAATCTCACCCAGAGGCCCTGTGAAATCCCGCCTGCTCTCCTTTTTTTTTTTTCTTACTGCTGAGACTGGAGGGGGCACTTTGGCAAATGAACTGATCAGTAAGGGGCTGAGGGGCATTGAAAGAAGACTTAAGGTTTACTGTACTTTTTTTTTTGCCTGCTCTGCCCAGAATGCCCCCTTTTTTCCCTAACCCAGTTTTTTTTTTTAATGGCAGTCACCCTATATTCAGGTCCACCTGGCAAATCTTTTTTTTTTTGAGCTGAAATAACAAGTGAGTCCCTCACTCTCCTTAAAGAATTTTTTTTTTTCTTCTTGCCAGGAATTGGCTTTGTTAAAGGCCTGTCTATTCAGCCCTCTGTCCCTGACAGCTCTATGGTTTCAGAGTGCTAATGAGCTCCTTTTTTTTTTTTCTCAGGCCTTGCTACTGCCTGGGGAATTCACACAAATGGTTTTTTTTTTTCCCCTTCTGTGTTTTCCTTTCTGACTTGGAGGCAAAGAAAATTTTTTTTTTCCCACTGACACCATGTTTATTCAACTGGGAGAGATTTCACATTTTTTTTTTCAGCTCTCCCTCCTTGAGCCCCTTCCCTAAATCTTTGTCCCTTTTTTTTTTCATCCCACCCCTGTCCTCCCTGAATAATTTATAAGACCAGGTTTTTTTTTTAAAAGGGTGTCCCAGGAAAGGCCAAAAGAGTGCAGAAGGTTTTTTTTTTTTGGGGACCCCACAGTCCGCCTGGCCCTGGTCCCCTAAGAATGGACTCTGCTGCCTGTGTTGCTGCTGCCACCCCTGTTCCAGCCCTGGCCCTGGCCCTAGCTCCAGACCTAGCACAAGCCCCACTGGCACTCCCTGGCCTGCTAAGCCCATCTCCCCTTCTCTCCTCTGGAAAAGAAGTAGATGGGAGTGAAAGGTTTTTTTTTTTTGGCCTTTGGCAACCTGAACTTAGGCTTGAGGGCTTCCTGAGAGAGGAAGGAAAATGAGATGTCCAGGGCACCCTGTTCTCTGTGAAGGGGTTTTTTTTTTGCCTCATAGCCCTCCCTCCTCATCTCTAGCTGGAATATCTCTTTTTTTTTTTCACCTCACTAATCCCGCTGGGTGGCAAGAGGGGACTTGGGTTTTTTTTTTGTTGCCAAAGCTGAAGGTGAAGCAGCCAGGTCTTCATAGGCTTTTTTTTTTAGTCCCCTGAGGGGGATGGGGAACTGCTATGAAACCTGGGCTTTTTTTTTTCTAGACTGTGGCGGTGTGGAGTATGGGGAAAGAGGACCAAATTTTTTTTTTGTCCTTGACTGGGACATTGTCTTTTTCCTGACCATGACATATTTTTTTTTTTGGCTTTTTTCCTACCTCTGCAAGTACAGTGGGGAAGCAGTTTTTTTTTTTACATTTCTGGCCCTCTTCCTCAGCCCAGGAAAATGGTAGAGTTTTTTTTTTTACTTCTTGGAGCAGGAAGTAGGAGGCAAGATATTTTCCATTTTTTTTTTTTTCATTACTCCAAACATTTAGCCTTCAACAAACATTTACTGTTTTTTTTTTTGTGTACCAGACATTGTGCTAGGTGTTGAGGATTCAGATACTTTTTTTTTTATCTTTGAGCTTAAGAAGCCCAAAGACAAGTAAATAGACAATTTTTTTTTTGGATGATAAAAGCAATAACAACATTGCTGAAGCTGAGAGAATTTTTTTTTTTCCTGGAAGGGGCTCAGGAGCCTTAGGAAAGGCTTCCTGGAGCAGATGGCACCTGAGCCAAGCTTTTGGGAGGCCTCTTGTTATCTCAGGGAGTCCACCTTTCAGTCTCTTCCTCTACCGATTAATCTCTTCTCTTTGTCCCAGAGGAACTTGTCTCTGGAGGCCCTGGCTGTCTTCCACAAATGATTCCCCAATTTTTTTTTTGAAGCTGGTGGATTTGGTGAGTTCGAGCCCTTGTGACGCATTTTTTTTTTTCACATGCATTAACACTGACCAGGTCACTTCCCAGAGAACCCTTTTTTTTTTTCCAAGGGTGCAGATCTGAGATAGCATCCTCACAGTTTTGCTTTTTTTTTTTTCCAACAGAGAGCAGATCCAAGTTTTCTGTGGCAATTGGATTTTTTTTTTGACCAAGGCTCAGAGTGGACAAGAGATCTGGGCAGGCCCCACATCCAGTGTGGGGCAGTGCTGGTGCTTGAGGCCTGGTCTCCTGGCACCTTTTTTTTTTTTTTTCCCACCCACCCCATCTCCTTGAATCTTTGCTGCTCCAGTTTTTTTTTTTCCCCTGGAGAGCCTCCAAACAGGTGCTGGAACAGAAGACGGAAGCAAACAACCCACAGGACTCTGTCTGCTTGTTTTTTAACCAGAAACAATTTTTTTTTTTTGTTGAGGGGCAGGTATTGGGGGTTGCTGGGTCCCAGAGATTTTTTTTTTCTCTTCAAGATCATTTTACCTGCAGCTTTCTGACCTCTGGTTTTTTTTTTTAAGTTATCTAGCCATGTACTTTGAACCACATGCTAGCTTTTTTTTTTTTTTGGCTGCTGGCGGAGCAACAGCTGCTGAGGTCACCAAGGCTGAATCCAAGTTCCATCACCCTGTCAGGTAAGCTTCTGGCATCAAGCTCCAAATTTTTTTTTTATCCATTAGCTCTTTGAATCTTCACAAAGGTCTTGTAAAGCTTTTTTTTTTAGGGATTGCTATCTATGATCGCTGTTTCATAGAAGAGAAAGTTGGAGCCCAGAGAGGTTAAGGGACTTGGCCAAGGCTGTCTTCCCTGGAGGTTTTTTTTTTAATGCCCAAGAATGATCCCCCATGGATGGGTCAGTGAAATATTTTTTTTTTGAAGGAGATGGGGGCCACAGGGCTGGAGAATTCTTGGCTAGAAGCCTTCTGGGGTAGGTAGCAGATGGGGTCAGAGCCATAGTTGATAGATGTTTTTTTTTTGCCCCCGCCCCCACCACCATAGGTCCATAAGGGGTTACCTTTTTTTTTTTTGCCATTTTGTAACAATTGCAGAAGGTTCTATTACAAAACTTTTTTTTTTTTTTTCCCTCTGACCTCATTGTTGCAGCCAAGAGAAGGGGTTTAGGGGCCAGCTTCTTTCTTGGCCCTACTGGCCCCTCTGCACATATGAGACCTTTTTTTTTTAGGGGCCATGTTTCTTCTCTGTCCACAGGCTCTTCTGGCCTTTTTTTTTTTCCTTCGACTATCTGTACAGTGCTGGGGAGATTTTACTGCAGAACTTTCCTGTCCAGGCAACCATCAACCTATATGAGGACTCAGACAACGAATTTTTTTTTTAGGATGAAGAAGAGAAGTAGGAGGCTGATGAAAAGAGGCCATTTTTTTTTTGTGAGGGTACCAGGGTCCATATCCTATAGCGCCACAGCTCATCCCCCTTCCCTACCCCTAACCTATCCAAATGGAGGCAGCCAGAGCTGATTTTTTTTTTTTTTGTCTGGCAAGTTTCCACAGACATCAATTAGATAGAGCTTTTTTTTTTTTAAATTGGGTCCTCTAACTGCCCAGCTCACCCTGGCTTACCTTTTTTTTTTTTAAGCCCAGGCCTCTGGCATCTCATTGTCTGGGCTGCTGTTTTTTTTTTTTTGGGAGGGTTCTAGGAGCTCTAGAAGAAGGAAGGCTTGCTGTTTTTTTTTTGAAGCAGAACAGGGCAGAGCATGCCCTTGCGGAGGGAAGTAGTCACTCCTCAGGCCCTTTGACTCCCCAGCCTTCCCAGGTGGGCATGTAGTTTTTTTTTTTTGTGGAAAGCCTGACTTCTGGCTTCACCCCCAGGAATACCATTTTTTTTTTCATGTAAGGTTGGGGTGCCTTTTTGATGAGTCTTACAGTAAGGGAAGGGGGCGTGTAGAGAATCGGCTTCCTCTGGGGATGACCCCCATTTTTTTTTTTTTTCATTGAAGTCTGTGTGTTGGCATGAGATGAATCAGGAGAAATTTTTTTTTTAGGGTGTTTTCCTTTTTCTTGGAACTGTGCTGATTTCTTAATTTTTTTTTTCCCATGCTGTGAAGCCATGGGCAGAGGGTCAGCGACCAGCTTTTTTTTTTTTCATTGCTTTTCCTACCTGAGGTCAGTTGACAAGTTTTTCTTTTTTTTTTTGTAGGGCTGGGGACCCAGCATGGGGCCAGGCCCCCTCCATCTTTTTTTTTTATCAGACTTGATTAAACTTCAAGGACAGCTTGGAAAGGAAACAAAAAGGCTCCCAAAAGGCAGCTTGAAAGTTGGGAGTAGGGATGGAGGTGAGAGGGGAAAAGTGACAGGTGCAGCCTCATCTGAGCCTCAGAGATGGCTGTTTTTTTTTTTGGAGGAGGGCTACTAGGTCCTAGCATTTTTTCCCCTCAATTCCCTTTGTATTTACTGCAGCTCGGACCCTCATGCTTACCCTTGCTCCAATTTTTTTTTTTTTATTTTTTTTTTTTTTTTGGCCTCCAGCTGCCCCTTTGTGATTTTTTTTTTACACTGACCACCAGATTAGACCATATCATGCCTTTGCCAACTTTTTTTTTTTTTTTTTTTTTTTTTTTTTTTTTTTTGGTCACAGATCCCCTTTTTTTTTTTTGGCTTCTCTACTCAGAAAAATATATGTGTTCACACCACACTTTTTTTTTTACACACACACTCACACACAGTGCTATATCTTCACAAATCAATTTTTTTTTTTGATATTCTAGGCCTTTCAATTGTGTGGGTTTTGCCTGTCTCTTCAGACTCATCTCTCAACTCTTGAAGTTTACACTGCCTCTCCTTGAATGTTTTTTTTTTTCTAACACCTCTGTGTCCTTAACCCTGTCTGGAATGCCTTTCCACTTTCGCATGCCTGGTAAACTCTCATTCATCCAACAGAACCAGCTCAGTTTTTTTTTTTGTAGGAAGCCTCCCCAGACCCCTCAGGCACCAGGCTGGGTTTTTTTTTTTATTCAGAGCCTCCGCTAACATAGCATTTGCCTCCTTTCCTATTTTTTTTTTTGGGGCTGTATTTGATATTCCCATATGACTTCATTGCACAGTTTTTTTTTTGGCACAAAGGAGGTGCTCAGAAAATGCTGAAAGAGAAAAGATTTTTTTTTTTTCTGAAAGCAGCTCTTGGTGGAACCACCATTGTTCCTCAATTTTTTTTTTTCCTGGTTTAGCTACAAAGGGGAGAGGGTAATGTCATCTCTTTTTTTTTTTAAACGATGACCATCTTTCTTTTCCTCCTCCCTCAACATGAGTTTTTTTTTTTCGGTTCTGAACCCTAGCTGGGACTTGCCTGCATTGGACGAAACCTTGAGTAGGCCACCATACTCACACACTGGTGCCATCTATTGGTCAAATTTTTTTTTTGTTCTTTAATTAAGGCTTCCAGGCAGTTGACCTTTGACTACTTTTTTTTTTTTAGTCCATTCTGTTTCTGTTTGCAAGTAAAGTGGAATCTACCATGTGCTAGCAGTATGACCTTGGGCCAGTTACTTATCCACTCTGAGTCTTTTTTTTTTTATCTGTAAAATGGGGCCAATAATACTTCCTTTCAGAGTTATTTTTTTTTTTAAATGAGATAATATATGTAAAGTACTTAGCATGCCCCCTGTTTTTTTTTTTAAACCCTCAATAAATGGTAGTAGTCATAATAATAGTAGTCTTTTTTTTTTTTATTACTGATTTTATAAAGGAAATGATCTTATAGGCCAGAGTTTTTTTTTTACGATTTACTCAACTAATAACTGATTTGTCAGTTATCACCATTTTTTTTTTCTGGCACCATTTGATGGTTTACCAGTAAAAACATCTTTTCATTTTTTTTTTCAAAATAAAAAAAAAAGAAAGAAACCCCAAACAATAATAATTTTTTTTTTTATAAAACAACAACAAAAAACGGAGGCGAAGTGTGGTTCCCTTTTTTTTTTTCTACATTCAAATGGTAGCCTACAGGTTTCAGTTCCCTTTTTTTTTTTTTTTAGGTTTGTAAACATATTTTTTGTGCTTTAGCAGGAAAACTTTTCTTTTGAATTGAATGCAGAATCCCAATATATAAATCAAATAAATATGGATTTTTTTTTTTGGAAGCCATAATGCGGGGGAGGGCAGAATTCTTATGCTGGTGTCTTCTCTGGTAAAGTAGCTGTCTCCACCCCTTTCTGTGAGGCACTTTCTTTTTTTTTTAGTCTGTGGGAAACACAATTTGGAAACCACTGTCCCAACGGTTTTTTTTTTATTGATTTGAAGTAGAAGGGAGATTAATTAGTACTTCAAAATTTTTTTTTTTCTGTTTAAAATCCTTGTTTTGGGTCCTAAGCACCCAGCATTTTTTTTTTTAAAAATTGCTCGAATCCTTATACCATAGGTTATAGGGATTTTTTTTTTTTTGAATCCCAATATCCTTGGTTTTAAGGTATTATATAGCATAGTTTTTTTTTTCCCTAAATCCTCAGGGATTTAAAGACCCTAAAATCCTTGGATTTTTTTTTTTTAACTCAGAATGGACTCTTCTCATTTCCCAACCCCACCTCCCTTACTGCACACATGCTGTTGTTTACTGGGCAGACATTTTGTCTCACTGTTTTTTTTTTTCCCTGTCTTGAAATGGCTTCCAATCCTCCTCCCCATACGTGTTTTTTTTTTAATTGGAATTCACTGTTCTGACTAATCAGAGCTCAGTATGATTTTTTTTTTTATGGGCGTTTCCAATGTTTGTACCAACTTCAACTCCAGTGTTTTTTTTTTGGAGAAAAATCTCTGTGCAAAACTCAAGAGTCCTTCCTCCATTTTTTTTTTGCTGGCCCATTCTAGTGTTCCAGTACTTCCCCATCCTAGCATTTTTTTTTTCCTGTTTCTCCCACCTTGTAGCAGCAGTGAGAGGACACATCTTTTTTTTTTAGGCTGCATTTGAACTGGGCTTTGAAGGATGGGCATGAGTAGTAATGGAGGGAGAAAACTTTTCAGAAAGAGGCAGCACTATGAATTCCTTCTTTTTTTTTTACTTATTGAGCACTTACTATGTGCCAGCCCTTAATGTTGTATTTTTTTTTTGCATGGGCTTTGGAAGCAGATGTACCTGGGTTCAAATGCCTTATCTGCTGCATGCTGGCTCAATTCATAGGCCCACTCCCCTCAGTGTCAAGGTCAACTCTCTGCTCTTAATGCTTTCACTACAACCTCTGTAGTTTTTTTTCTTTTTTTTTTTCTTTTTTTCTTTTTTTTTTGAGACAAGGTCTCACTCTGTTTTTTTTTTTTGAGTGCAGTGGTGCGATCTTGGCCCACTGCAACCTCCACCTCCCAGGCTCAAGCAATTCTCCCTCCTCAGCCTCCCGAGCAGCTGGAATTACTTTTTTTTTTCACCATGCCCGGTTAATTTTTGCATTTTTAGTAGAGAGAGGTTTTTTTTTTGTTGGCCAGGTTGGTCTTGAACTCTTGACTGTAGTTCTTTATTTTTTTTTTCCTCTTCCCAACACAGCACATGCTCATTAAAATAGTTGCCTTTTTTTTTTTGCCTGGTCATGGAAAGCCGTCTGCCTTCCCAGTGGGTGTTATTTTTTTTTTCCTCTCAGCCCCTCCTCGAAACTGTGCCTGTGTGACCCATCTTTTTTTTTTATACATTGTCTCCTTTACTCCCCACTTCCTTTTTGCCAAATGGTGGCCAATCCCCGTCCCAAACAAGGTTGTTAGCGGACCTGAATCCACTGTTTTTTTTTTTCAGGAACATGGTGTTGGTTCCTGTGTTTTTCGTTTATCCCTTTTTTTTTTAGGCTCGTGACAACCTCCATGGAAACACAGAAACCCAGATACAGAAAGCCAACAAGGAATGAGTGCTCTGAAAGCGGGTGCCACAGCACTTGCTACTGACATTACACCCATCGTCTCGTGTGGTACTTGTAATCACAAGAGTCTTTTTTTTTTGTCTTATTATTATCCCCACTTATTAATGAGAAAACTAAGAGTTTTTTTTTTTTCTATGCCTGGGTTTGTGTGCCTGCATGGAAGATGCTACATTTTTTTTTTGCGGTGATTAAGTAAAAAAATACAGGAACCAACACCAGGCCTTTTTTTTTTAAACAGTGAAGTCAGGTAGTTTATGACAGGAGACTGGAGAGGAGAGGAGATGAACTGTCTCTCCGCTAGAGAGCCATACAGGCACAGTGGGGTGGGGGTGGGTAGGAGGTGGTGACACCCACAAGTGTGGGAGTGGGGCTTTCTTTTTTTTTTGAAGACTAGACAACAGGATACCTAGGAGGATAAGAGAACAGTTTTTTTTTTTGGAATTCTTGTTACGAACCTTACATGGATTAACTCCTTTATTTTTTTTTTTTTG